TCCTCGCCCCCCGCCGCCGGCCCGCGCCGCTCTCCTGCCTGCGGGGCCCTGCAGCGGGCCTGGCATGGCCTCCCTCGGCCGCCCTCGAGCCTGGCGGGGAGCAGGGGAAGGGAGGTCAGCAGCCCTGACCCAGGCTCCTTCCTTGTCCACGATCCCTGCTCCATCTTCCCTCCCCTCAGCTCTCCCCCTCAGTGCCTTCCCCCTCCATGTCCCCTCAGTTCTTCCCTGCAGGCCTTCCCCCCTCCATTTCCCCTCAGGTTTTTCCCTCCACGTCTCCTCCCCTCAGTGCTTTCCCCTCAGCACCTTCCGTTCCACCTCACCTTCCCCCTTCACCTCTCCTCCCCTCAGCACCTTCCCCTCCATCTCACCGCTGCCTTCCACCTTCCCTTTCCCCTCCGCTCCCCTCCGTGCCCGCCCTCAGCGAGGTCTCCAGGGCAGCCATGGTGGCGGCAAGCCTGGGCCTGCCTGCTTGGCCGGGGGCCCAGCGCCATTGCTCTGCGTGAGTAACCCTGCCCAGCACAGGTTTCCTCCCCTCTGTCCCTTGGATTTCTTGGTATTGGGGCTTGCCCGAGGGAATATGGCCGCACCAGAAGGTACTGGCTGGTCTGAGGTAGTACAGCAGAGCTGTGCGGTTCGCGGCACAGTGCTGCTGCAGAGGGAAAAATCAAACCCAAATCCACAGCAGGGAGAGCAGCTACCGGGGTCCTTCCCACCCCTTTGCAGCACCTCAGCTCTGCAAATGAAGGTGCTGAAGGAAACTCCCCTCTCCCTTCCCTCCACTCGGCCTTCCCCCACATCAGAGCAGCAAAAGTAAAACAACTCTGGAGGTGGCAATAGCTCTCCCGGGTGTTCTGGGGCCAGCGCAAGCCTCACATCTCCTGCCCTTGCTGCTGCATGTGGCGGTGAGTGTTTTAACAGCCTCGCCAGCAAGGGAGATCAGCGTGTGTCTGTCAGAGGTGAGCCCGGACGAGAAGCATTTGTGGGAACTCCAGCAGCACTTGCTGAAGAAATGCACAGTTTATTTGTCGTCTTCTCCCTGGAAATAACACGAGGTTTAATCCTGGTTCGGTTGCTTTCTCCCTGCTCCCTGCCTGCCTCTTTCCTTCTCTCCTGATCCTTTTAGATGTGAAATTTGGCAGACGCTGGCGGTTGCGTTCAGACAGGTTGTGATGAAATCAGGCTCCCGGGAGGCTGCTCCCACGGCGGATCCCTGGGCTGCAGGCAGCACTTCTCCGACTGCCGCTAATGGTCTGATTTCAAAGTGTCAACAGCAGGGGTTTCGCAGTGATGGTTATTACTAATGCTGTACAGCAGCCAGCAGGTCTCCAAAGCCTGCATGTGGATGAAAGGGATGGTGACACAGGGCAAAAAGGCAAGGAAAACGGCAACAGCAGTGACGGGATGTAAATAATTCATCCAGACTGAAAAGTGAGTATAATATTTTTGGAGAACAGCTGAGGGAAGGGGATTACTTGTAGCTAGTGGTGGTTGTCATTAATTTTATGATGATAAAACCTGGCTTGCCAGCCAAAATTAGAGCCCAGTGGTGGTGTCTGGCCTGAGCTACATGCAAAGAAAATCGTCCTCTGACAGCTTCTCCCTGGAGTACCAGGATGGGTAGGAGCAATGTTCGCCTGGCTAACCTGCCCCTTCTGCTGCTGCAGCTGGTCAGGAGGATGCTGGGTGGTGAGGTGCTTCCCAGCAGCAGAAAATTTTATTCTGAAGGGGCATTGTCCCTAGGCAAATCCCTTACCCTCTTACTGCTTTCTGTTGCTTTTCTCTTTGTCCCCCTTTTCTGTCTAGTCTGAAGTCTCAAACTCTGCCGTGCCCAGTGCAGCCGGACTCCAGTCTCAATGGATGTTCTACCTGCAATTCACAGTAAAAATTTAAGAACGAACCTTCCACAATCCTTCGAAGGTTTCACTGTGTCTTGGAGGCATACATCTTTTGAAAATAAACATATCATGAATTCATA